CCCCGGGCTGCGCTGCCCCGAGCCCCAGGAAACCCACTGCCCGCTCGCCCCGCGGGCGCCCGCGCGAGCTCCCCGCGCACCCAAGGGCTGGGGCGCCACGGGCCGACGGCTGCAGCCGGCCGCAGCTCTCGGAGCCCCATCCTCAGGGACAGGACTTCCCCACCGCCCCATCGCCTCCCCGTCTCGCCCTTGAGTCCCGGCTCTTGGCCGGGCTCACACAGCCCCCCGGATCGCAGCCAACCCCTCTCCGTGTCTGAGCCCACGCATCGCCTGGGGGCTGCACGAGACCCAGAGCCTAAGGCGAAGACAGGGAGAGGGGACCAGGAACAGCCCTGCCTGGCTCCACACCGGGGGCACCTGCTCTTTGCAAGGGGCCCCAGGGAGCCCCACAAGCTGCGAGATCAGGACCCACAGGGTTTGGTAGCCCGTGGCCGCCTCCCTCACAGGAAGGAAAAGCAAAACACACCGAGCCATCTCACCAGCTCCTGCTGCCTTGCCAGTGTCGGGAGAAACCCTGATCACCCTCCGGATTCTTTTAAACCAGCTGCTGGAGCAAGCTCGGACCTGCCGCGCTCGGCTCGCAGCAGCCGCACGCTGCAACCCCCTCGGCTTTGCCGCCTCCGGCCACAGCCCGCACCAACGCCTCCGCCGGGAAATACCCCGAGCCGAGCCCCAAATCCCCTCAGATTCCCCTCGCCGGCCCCCACGCTCCTTCCTCGCCAGCTCCACGGGTGCTCTACACAGTCTAGGGGTGACAACTCCAGACCTGCTGCTGCAGAGAGTAAAATGAGCTGTGGACACGGCTCGAGGTGCACAGGGCTTGACAGCTCCCATGAATCTGCCCCGCTCCCACACATTGCTGCAGGGGGTCTTATTTTAAAAGGCAGAGTTTGAAAAAAAAAAAAAAGAGGGGAGAAACCAAAACAGAGCTGGAAATTCATGCAACATGTAGATAACCACCTAGGGGGAGGAAAATCAAAGAGAAGGCCAAAAGTTGGTTTTGCTTTTGCTTTTTTATCCTCCTTTCCTTTCCATACTGAAGTCCACCTGGGAGCAGAGGGGATAGCATAGAAATGCCGTGCGCCCCGCTCCACTTCGCCGCCGCAGCGCCCGGGGCAGTGAAGGGCTGA